GAGATGGATGTGACTGAGTGTTGTATGGTATTTTGGGGAGTATGGCTCCTCTCTTCACTCCACCTCCCTTCCTTCAGCTAGACGTAGAAAATCTTAGGGAATGGGGGAATCCCCGAATCGCCATGTGGAGGAGAGGATTAGGCTATCACAAGTTTGGGAAATACAACTCAATCTGTGTTTATATGTCTTGTTTCTTTATAAGTTTTGATGACTATTAAAGCAGACAGTGTTACTGTCCAAATATTGTACATTTTGTAGTCTGTAAAGCAGTCAGAAATTCAGTCATAGTATAGGAATAGATGGCCAGCACAACTACTTTATTTCTTACTGTGGATGGAATAAAAACAATTTTTTTTTGCAAGGCTCGGATTTGAACTCAGGCCTTCATTCTTGCAAAGCTGGCACTCTACTGCTTGAGCCACACCTCCAGTCTGTTTTGGTCTGGTTATTCTGGAGATAGGGATCTCAAGAACTCTTTGCCAGATTTGTCTCAAACCAGGTTCCTCCTGATCTCAGCCTCCCAACCACGTAGGATTATAGGTGTGAATCATCAGGGGCCAGCTGGAATAAAAATCTTTTAAGTGTTAAATGGCCCTAAATATTTCTTAGCAAATGGGCAGATAAGAAAACATATGTGTAAAATGATGGGGTTTTAAACATGACAGACACATATATGACCCATGATTTCCAAAGTGGGGTCTATCCACTTGAACATTTAGGGATTGAAGAGATATCCTATTGGGTTGAGAGAAGAAGAGATGAAAACTTTTCCATAGCTATCTTATAGACATGACTGTCTATTTTTGAGTGTGTTTTATAACATATACAATGTGGTAGTATATGCATATGTATACATATACCTCTCTACATATAAATATAAATTTTATAAAATTTATTAGTACTCTTTTTTTGTATTTGGTTTTGGGAATTAAATCCAGTGCCTTGTACATGCTAAGCACGTACTCTACCACTGAGTTATACTATCAGCCCCTTATATATATAATTTATGCATAAATAAATTATTTTGGAAGTACATGTTCAAAAATTTTACACTGAAAGGCTGTATGATCAAAAACATTTGCAGACCATTAGCAAACTAAAGGCCCTGAAACACATTTAGCCACACAATCATGTTAGAAGTTTACAACACATTTAATAAAGAGATGGATGGATAATAGAGTATTTATATGGAAATATGCCCTGTATTAGGTAGGTTATAACCAATCCAACATCCTTTGTATTCCTGGACAAATTACCTAGCCAGTACTACCCTCACTTTCTTCATCTCAAATATGGGGATTGTACTAATTTGAGGTTTTTAACTTTTTTTTTTCAGCACTGGTGTTTTGAACTCAGGGCCTCATGCTTGCTAGTCAGGTGCTTTACCATTTGAGCCACTCCACCAGCCTGAGGTTTTTAACTCTTGTACTCAGTGGTTATCTAGAGGTTTTGATGATTCCTATAGAGCCTGAAATGGCAAGTGGGAGGGAGGACTGCAGGTGAGCTCCACCCTTACCATATTGCTTCATTTGGAGTACCTAACTCCTGAAAGAGTCCAAATGTACAAGGAGGGAACAGAGGACACTGGGAGGATCTTAGGAAAAAAAAAGCAAGAAAGACATTAACAAACCAAAAGAAAACTATTAGCCTAGATCACCTCTTTTTTTTCTTCTTGGTTTTTTGAAACAGATGGCCTTGAACTCAGATCCTCCTGCCTCAGCCTCCTGAGTGCTGGGATTATAGGTGTGTACCACCATTCCTGATTCCTAGATTGCCTCTTAAGAACTCTTTCCAGTTTAAGGAATTGCAGATATTTATTTTACGAAAAATAGAATTCTGGTATTAAAAACTCTGGTGTTAGCTGGGTGTAGTGGTGCATGCCTGTATACCCAGGAGAGTGAGGCAGGAGGATTTTGAATTTGAAGCCAGCCTGGATTATACAAGGAGATTGTTCAACAACAAAAAGCCAGGTGCCATGATAAAGTGAGAGCACACAAGGAAGGTATGAAGATAGGTAAGACACCCAAAAAACTAGATAGCATTTGTTGCCCTCAACGCAGAGAAACTAAAGCAGATATTTTAAAGCAACAGAGGCCAATAGAAGAAGGGGACCAGGAACTAGAGAAAAGGTTAGATCAAGAAGAATTAACTTAGAAGGTAACACACATGTACAGGAAAGCAATGTGAGTCAACTCCCTGTATAGCTATCCTTATCTCAACTAGCAAAAACCCTTGGTCCTTCCTATTATTGCTTATACTCTCTCTTCAACAAAATTAGAGATAAGGGCAAAATAGTTTCTGCCTGGTAGTAAGGGATAAGGGGGGGTAGGGGAGGGAGCGGGGAGGGGGGGTAAGGGAGGGGGTGGGGGGAAGGAGGGAGATATGACCCAAACATTGTATGCACATATGAATAAAATAAAAATTAAAAAAAAGCCAGGTGCCTGTGGCTCATGCCTGTAATCCAAGCTACTTGGGAGGCTGAGATTGGGAGAATCGCAGTTCCAGGCCAGCCCTAGCAAAAAGTTCACTGAGACCACATTTTGAGCAATAGCTGGGCATGGTGATTTGTGCCTGTCGTCCCAACTACGTGGGAAGCTGAGATGGAGAGGATTTCAGTTCCATGCCAGCCCCAGAAAGTTTGTGTGCTGGAGGGGAGGATTTGCAAGATCCCATCTCAACATTAAAAAGGTGGGTGAGGTGGTGCTCATCTGTCATCCCAGCTATGTGGGAAGCACAAAGTAGGAGGATCATGGTCCAGGGTAAAACGAAACCCTCTCTCAAAAAATAACCAGAGCAAAAAAGATTGAGGTCTGGCTCAAGTGCAGAGCACCTGTCTAGTAAGTGGGACGCCCTGAGTTCAAACCCGAGTACCACCACCAAAACAAACAAACAAACAAAAAAACCTCAGGGGCAGGGGTGTAGCTCAGTGGTAGAAAATATACTTAGCATTTACAAGGCTCTGGATTCAATCTCCAGCACCCCTCCCCTCACAAAGCCTATTTTAATATGTCATAATAAATTTAAAATTTCTAGGTGAGCCAAACTCGGTTAAACAAATGGAAGGCCATGATTGATATATGTGATGTAAAATGCAAGGTTATACTATAAAGGGTCTGACATCTCAGCTAGTTTTTACTTGAATTAATTTATCTTACCTAAACCATAGTATAACTCTTTGTGGTATGTTTTATTCTAATTTTTTTGGAGGGGCACTGGGGTTTGAACTCAGGGCTTCACACTTGCAAAGGAGGCACGCTAATGCTTGAGTCACACTTCCAGTCCATTTTGCTCTAGTCCTTTTTGGAGATAGGTCTCATGACTATTTCTCTGGGCTGGCCTCAAATCACGATCCTCCTGATCTCAGCCTCCCAAGTAGCTAGGATTACAGCATAAGCCACTGGCACCTGGCTCTAAACTATATGTATGTGATTGATTTAACTGATTAACAAGGGAAGAAGAAAACCTTTAAAAAATAACAGAAAGAGTTGGTAGAGCAGAAACAAACTTAACTGCCCCCTCCCCGCACTTTTATGGGTGGTATTGGTAGTTGAACTCGGGGCCTAGGGTTTACTATACAGAACTCTACCATTTGAGCTACTCTGCCAGCTCTTTTTGTGTTGGATAATTTTGAGATAGGGTCTCACTTTATGCACAGGCTGGCCTGGATGGAATCCTCCTATTTATGCCTCCCTCTTAAAGCTGGAATGACAGGTTTGCACCACTGCACCCAGTCATTAGTTGAGATGGGGTCTCAGGAACTTTTTGCCTGGTTTGGCTTGCAACCTAGATCCTCCTGATCTCTGCCTCCTCAGGAGCCAGGATTACAGGTTTCAGCCACCACACCTGCCCTTAACTGCCCTTAATTGACTAGATACAGTTGAGGAGGTCTGGCAATAATAATTTTCAGGATGAAAATATTTTGAAACACAAATGAGACTGGCTGCCCTATTCTGAGGAAATATTTTACCCATGGTTAGTCCTTAAAATTAGCTTTATTTGGCATTTGGGATCCACAAGTGCTATTTTTTTTTTTGTCAGTTATGTACATGAAAAAATTTAAGACCATTTAATTTATTTCACTACATAATAATTCACTTGGTACATTTTGCACCCCCTTTCTTGTCTTTCTACTCAATTATTCACTCTGCTGGAGTTTGTCCTCTCCCTGTACTCTGGGGAAAAGCAATAGTTTATACTAAACAATGTACCCATAACGGGACTGTGGGAACAGCGGTTTTACGAAGACATTCCTCTAATGCCATTTAAGTAATAGCAACCAGAAATCAGTCTGAGTCCTCTTAAGTTCCTTCAAGGTTGCCAGTGGGGCTGATTTACGTCCTGGGACCGGGCAGTTACTAACCGGCAAGATTTGGGTCTACTTACTACCATGACTCTGCATAAAGGCCAGGCACACACACCTTCCAAAAGGCTCTACTGTAGTCTCAACATTGAACTCCATTCTGTTCATCTTAAAAGCACATCACTAATCACCCTCTATGGTGGGCTTTTAATTTGCATAATTACAGGTCGCTCGTAATCTATGGTATAATCTGTTCTAGTCCTGCTTCCATTAAAAAAAGAAGACTAAAACAATATGGAAATTAACACTTGGTTACACCTAGGAACACCAGAATTTAATCAAAGACTGATTTGACCACAGCGGCAGTCTCTGGGGTCGCACCTCCATTCTTACTTCCTCCAGCCTCACCTCCAGGTTGGCTCCGCCCATTTTCTCCCAGCCAATGGCACGCGCCGCACCACCAGGAGGCAATTCCAGGGATCCGCCCCTTCATCACTCCAGAGGTTGGGCTTTCACCTTGCCTTTACCCGGCCAAGCGCATGCGCACTTTCACTGGGCCCTGGAAAAGACGCTTAGGGATCGGTTTTCTTCTTCTTTCTTTCCCGGATCGCGCGACTTTCCCTAAACCCTTCCCACCCTATTCTTGCTGAGTTTTCCCCTCTCAAGGTGCTGCTCCGGCCTTGGGTGCGGCAATACCCGGATGTGGAGCCGCTCTCGCCCGGCGGGGACTCAGCGGCAGGGCGGAGCGCGGCAGTGTGCGCGGGGGCAGAGAGAAGGGGGCCCCTGGGCCCGGGCTCTCGCCGGACGCCGGGAGGTACCACCACTGCCCGCGGGGGAGGCGGCGGCGCCAGCACTCGGTTGCCCACCCCGGAGCGAGGGGCTGGGGGAGAGTGAGGGCCGGCAGTCCAGCTTGCCTCCCACTGCCCTCGTCGTCCCCTCCGGGCGAGCCTCCCCCGGCCCTCTGCGCTCCCCGCGCTCCCGGCCGGGGGAGAGCGAGGTTTCCTGGCGGCCCTCGCTGTAGCCCGGCCGGGGAGCCCGGAGGAAGCGGCAGAGTCCCCGCCCACGGCCCCCTCCTCTCTGCTCGTTCGCCGCCGCCGCCGCCGCCGCCTCCGAGCCGTCGCGGGCGGGCGGCCAGTCCGAGCGTGGGGCGCGGCGGCGACGGCTGGGCAGCGGTCTTGCGCTCCCCAGGGACCACCCCGCCGCCTCCGTGAGTTACTCCCACGTCCCCCGGGGCTCGCTGCCGCCTCCGCCGGCGCCAAGAGTCCGGCCCGGGCCCAACTCCCTCGTGGGCCCCCCGGCGGCGGCGGCGGCAGCGGCGGAGCCCACCGCCCGGGCCCCGATGAGTAACTCCCGCAATAATCGGGTGATGGTGGAAGGGGTCGGGGCCCGTGTCGTGCGCGGCCCGGATTGGAAGTGGGGGAAGCAGGACGGCGGCGAGGGCCATGTGGGCACCGTGCGGAGCTTCGAGAGCCCGGAGGAGGTGGTGGTGGTGTGGGACAACGGCACCGCCGCCAACTACCGCTGCTCCGGGGCCTATGACCTGCGCATCCTGGACAGTGCGCCCACGGGTAAGCGCGGCCACCTGGCCAGGCCTGCGCGCGTGGGAGGGAGGGCCCTCCTGGGAGAGGCCAGCTGGCGGGGTGGCAAGGAAGGGCCACCGGGGATTGTAGACTCAAAACCGGATAAAGGAAAACTTGCAGAAAGGACCCTCTGTCCCCAAGGGGAATGGTGGCGGCTCCACCACCAGGATGCTTGCCAGCCTTCAAGGCACAAAGCGCCGGGAAGACAGCAGACGGGTCCCTCCTCCTCCTGGGAAAGGGTCTGAGAGGATGTCTAATCATGCCATTGAAATTAATCAGCCACCAAGTGACAACTAAAGGGACGCTTGTCTTGCCATATGGTGCACAGTTGCCAAGGGGCCGTTGGTGCGTTGAGGTAGCTTTTTTCTTTGTCTCCTGTGACACAGAATGACTTAAGTCCCCAAAGGCTATTTGGGAGGGAGTCTGTAAAGTGCTTTCTCATCTAAATTGTTTAATTTTATATCTTTGGATGAACAGAGGAGAAAATAGTCTGCGCTCTTGAGCCACTTCTTTGTGTTAAGTACTTTTTCCCAAGTGGAAGACAGGCATAGGAGACGCCTGTTTTTTTGGCTAGCATCCCATCTCAGTAAGGTGACGTTAGGAATACTATCCTACACCCAGGGAATTAGTGTTCTCGACTCATGGATTTATATGATTATATATTAACTCTAGAGCCTTTTTTAAAAAAATGATACACTGAGGGCTTGCATCAGATTTATTTTAATCTAAATTTTTTCACATAGATTATCCTTGATGTTTGTGTTCAGTAAAACAAAAAGTTCAAATTTAAAATAGGATACTTTCCGGAGTTTCTAAATGAGCTGCTTCTAGGACATTTGATTGAGTTTGGCAAAACCTAACAAATCTTGAAATGTGCTCATAGTTGTTGCTAGTAGCAAGAAAAAAATTAACAAGCCAATTCAGTTTTTGAGCAGATGACTCAGAAAGTTGTTTCTTAGTTTTTTAAACTGAAAAGGAGGTATGTGCATGACTCACAGAAAAGTAAAAGGGTCAGTAGTTAAAAAAAAAGGGGACGGCCATTATTACCAGATTCTGGTGTATTATTATAGACCATTCTTTGCATTGCAAGTACAGATGTGAATTTCCTGAAAATACAAATGGTAATAAGGTATATCTACTCTTTTGCACTTTTGCTTCTTTCACAATAATTCATATTGGTGATTATTTTGTATTCGTACATATGTGTAGGTTTATCTTACTCTTTCATGGCTGCATAGTGTTCCAGGTACTATATGCAGATAGTTTTTTACTTTTTTGCTAGGCATTTATATTTCAGGTCTAAATGATGCAGTGAAAAAATCCTTGTACATATATCCTTGTGCACATGTGCTGAGTACTTCTGAAGAAGTGAGATTGCTGCATCAAAGAATGCATGTTTTCAACATTTTGGTGGATGTTGCCTAACTGCTCTCTGAAGACATTTTACCACTTTACACTCCAGCAACAGTGGATGACACATATATCTGTTCTCACACTTTTAAGTTTTATTGTCCTGCTAGCTTGGGCTAAAGTCTGACCACAGCTCAATAATTTGGAGGGCTCGTTGGGATCAGTAATTGTAGGTTTATGGGGAAACTTAAATATCTTTCTAGGGTAAAAGTAAAGTGTAAGACTCTGAATTATAGTGATTTTTTTTTTTTTTTTAAATCTGAAACATCATTTCTTTGTGGTGAGAGCATTCAAAATACTTTCGTCTAGTTTTTTTTTTTTTTTTTTTTGGCGGTTCTGGGGTTTGAAATCAGGGCCTACACCTTGAGCCACTCAGTCATCCCTTTTCTTATGATGGTTTTTTTCGAGATAGGGTCTCTTGAACTATTTGGCTAGGTTGGCTTGGAACTGTGATCCTCCTGATTGCTGCCTCCTGAGTCGCTAGGATTACAGGTATGAGCCACCAGTGCCCGGCTCTATGGTGATTTTTGAAGGGATAATGTCCATATGTTTTGTAGTTTGGAGTGTATATGTCATAATTTAGCTTAATATAAAAGTATGCATTTTTCGGCGGTAACTTTTAGAATCTTAGTTTAATTTATAAGATAATTTAACACATTTATATGAGGCAGTTCATCTTGTTCATCTGATTCTTGTAGCAAAAATTTTACTTTATTTCTTTGGTGCTGGGGATTTGATCCAGAGCCTTGTGCATACTCCATCATTGTGCTGCAGCCCCAACCTGTCACAAACATTTCAAAAGCACATCTGCATTCAGGACAGGTAGCCTTCATGTGACATGCTTATTGAAATGTATTTTAGTTTCTGTGGTTTAATTTCATCCGTTAAAACTTTTTTTAAAGATTGAATAAATTATAAACTCCTGGTTCTGGTTTTACTCCTAGGACTATAATAGGACTTAGGTATTACTTAATAGTTGGTTTCCATTGATATTTTACTACATTGGGCAAGATTTACTCTATAATATGCATTACTTGATTTTTTTTTACATAATAGTTACAACTTAAAAAAAATACTCATTTTGAAATAATTTCACGCTTATGACCATATTGCAAAACTAGTAAAGAATTCTCTTTTGCCCTTTACCCTTCTTTTTTTTTTTGGCTTTTCTCATACCCATCCTCTTCAGTTGTGATGTCAGTAAGTTACTAACTGCAATTATTGAAAGCAGAAAACTAGCACTAATTCAACAGTACTAACTAGCCCATAGACCTTTACCAATTGTCCCACTAATTATTTTCCTTGCCCAAGATCATACATTGCATTTTAAGTCTCCTTAAGTCTGGGCCAGTTCCTTGGTCTTTGTCTTTCATGACCTAGACACTGGCCGATAATCATGTACTGTCCCTCAAATTGAGTTTGTCTGATGCTTCCTCATGACTAAATTCAGATTATGTATTTTGGGCATATACTATAGAAAATGTTTTGCCCTTTCTAGTACCTTATATCAGGGAAGTACATAATACCCATTTATCTCATTACTGAGGGTGTTACTTGGCTAAGTCACTGACAGTCTTTCCACTATTGCTTTTGTTCTATCTGTGCAACGCTAATATAAGAGAGGTAAATAGTATCTTACCTACTATCGTAGGTATGGTAACATGCGTTATGGGACACAAAGCCCATAAAAGGATGTTGGAGGCTTTCCTAGGGACTCAAGAACCGAACTGAAAGTTACTGCCATAGAGAAAATTTCTCATTGGGCACAAAGAGGTTTGTATATAATGTTTATAGCAGTGTTGTATGCAAAAGCAAAAACTTAGAAAAAACTTAAAGTGTATAAATAGGAGAATGAATAAATGACCTGTGTGTGTTTGTATAGTGGAGTACTAATTGTATAGAAGAGAAAGTTAATGTTAAGCAAATGAAATTGCAGAGGAGAATCTATGTTATGTGGCTGGGGTTAGGGTTGTAGCTCAGTGGTAGAGCATTGCTTGCACTGGCAAGGTCCTGGGTTTAATCACCAGGACTGGAAACAAACAAACAGAAAACAAACCCCCAACTGTGTGTTAAAATACAAAAGCAATACTATTTATTGTTTAGAGTAGAATTTTTAAACCTTGGCATTATTGACATTTTTAGGATAATTCTTTGTTGTAGCTGTGTCCTGTGCTTTGTAAGCCAGCAGTCCTGGCCTCTGCCCATTAGATGCCGTAGCACCATACCTCCTTATGATAATCCAGTCCACAAAAATCCCCAGACATTGTCAGGTGTCGCCTGGGTTGGGGGCAAAATTGTACTGATTGAGGCTTATTGTTTTAGGGATATGTATGAGTGTGGTAAAAGTATGCCAAAAATATTAATAAGACAAATTTAAGGGAGTGGATAGATTGTGAATGGACTGGAGGTACAATTGTAGAAGTCAATCAGAGGCTTTAACTATTTTGTAATGCTGTAGGTCTTAAACTGGATGGAGGGTACATTAGATATGTGTTAGATATTTATATTTTTATGTGTTGTGTGTGTAATATTTTATAGTTAATTACAAAAAAGATACGGTATTACAATGTTTATGAGAAGAATTGCAGTTGGGTTTGATTATTTGTTCTTTGTTCTCTACTTATACCCACATATGAACGGAAAATTTATTGTATATTTGGGAATTAAGAAATGGGAAACTTTCAACATAAAATTCTTTGAAACTTTTCAGAGTTAAGGGTTCTGAAGTGATTGGATTATCATGGATCTTTCTGTTCTCTTTACCACATGTTGGAGATTTTACATGGGAATTGTTTGTAGGGCTGAAATATTTTGCATGTAAACTTTATAATTTTTCTTTCAGGAGATAAGTGATATGTTTGAATTTATGTCCTAGGTTAGTCAAACCTTGAGGAGAGAAACATCTGGTACACATGTACATTTATTTGGCTAATTTGTACTCAGCAGAAAGATTGAAAATACATGGGTCATTATTTAGTTAGTTTGGAGTTAATTTTGTGAAGTTTGATCAAGTAGATTTAGTTGAGTTTGTATCATTTAGGTATTGCTTTTATACCATTTGAGGAGAAATGTGTTTCCTTTTTGTTTTGTTTTTTTTAGACAGGGTCTCTCTTTGCACCCAGGTTGGCCTTGAACTCTCTATGTAGCCCAGGCTGGCCTTCAACTGTCAGTCTTCCTGCCTTAGCCTCCGGAGTACTAGGAGTACAGCTGTGCCTCACCACGCCCATCAAGAATATTTCTAGTAAGCTCTCAGGTGATGCACATGTTGCCAGTTTATGGACACAGTTTGAATAACAGGGTACTTACTACATGACTGTTCACTTGAGATGCTCAGGCCCTCTGTGTCTTCTCATCAGGTTTCATGTCTTGTTGGTTGGTTGTGATATATGTGTTTTAATTAGACTGGCATTTTCAGTTTGGGAGAAAAGTGTACCCAGAGAAGTAAAGAACATGTAATAGCTTTCTAATATATGTATTTTTTGCAATTGTAATGCTATGTTAATATTTATATCTGGTTCTGTACTTTATATCATATCCCTCTGATTAGGAGCCAGGGACTCTCTTCCACCCTTTTTGAT